CCTCCACTGCCTCAAGTTGTTGTTGCCCTTCTGGGAAACACTCTTCGCTTAATATTTTCAGTACGCGGGCTCATCGATTGGGGCTGCTCGCCTTTTGAAGTCTGTTTCAGCAACGGTTGGATGAAGCCCGAAGTTTAAGAGAAGCGGTGATTAAAATAAAGACCGAGAGGCGGCTTCCGCGGGGCTCCTTCCTTAGAGCCGGCCTCCTTCGCCCTGCGCCACAAAGCTGATCCACGGGCTCTCTTCCCATCCGCATTTAACAGCCTCGGAGAGAAAAAAGAGATCGGGCATTTTAGTTCCCTCTCCACGACAGCTCGGTCAGACTGCCTTTTCCGCCAGATCTATGGCCTGGCTGGCCCAGATAGGAGATCCTTTCTTTTCCCCAGAGTCCGGTGGTGACTGTCCTCCTGACCGTGGAGCTTCAAGACTGTCTGTCGCCAGGTGGTGCTTCCAAAGCTGGCATCAAAGCAATAGGGGGGAAGAAGCCTTTCTGAAGGGCTACTTGAACATGGAGACTACTAGGAAATTCAGTTACGGTTGTCACCCCCCCCCCCCCCCCCCCGTTTTTCTGGTATGTTTCTGAGAGTCGCTAGTTTTACCCCCGGCAGCTTCCCAATAACCGGGGAATAATTCAAGCTCTCTATTGTGCCGGACTGAAGCGGGATGGGTTTTTTTCCCGCAGCATCTGCCATAAAAGAGACAATGCTAGTGGTATGGCTATCCAGCTCTTGAGGGGTTCGCGGTTTCAGGCCGCTCCAAGTCACTACTATGCACAATGTAATGTTATGTGCGCCTCCTCAGAAGTAAGGTCTCCACTGATTGACGGGGAAGGGAATTAATGACAGGAAGGCACAGCCGTTACATGACAAGAATCTTTAACTGAAGTTTCAAAGACTGGATAAAATCGGTCCTCTGAATCCAAGCCAATCCCTCCGCCTCTACAAACCCCATCAATCCACTGGGCTTCTTTGGCCCCAACAGTCAGAATTTCCGGGCGCAGCCGGTCATCCTACGCTCTTGCCACAGAACGACGACCACGCCGAAGTGGACCCAAAGCCAAGCAGGAAGGGAGGCGCAGTGAGGTTCAAAACCTCGGCCTAACTTTATCGAAGTTCTCTCCTAAGGTTGTGTGGCAGGGAGATCCTCAAGACAGTCTGGAGTAAAGAAAATCGGAAGAAAAGAAAGCCCATCGCTGCTCCCCTTGCAGAACGTCCAGGAATTATGACATGCAGGCCAGTGTCAGTATTCTTGCCAATAGTAGAGGCCACTATTACTCTGCAGGAAAGCAGATCGTGCGGGATTAGTCCAGGGGTCTCCAACCTTGGCCACTTTAAGACTTGTGGACTTCCACTCCCAGAATTCTTCTTCCAGTCATGTTAGCTCAGGAATTCTGGGAGTTTGAAGTCCACGAGTCTTAAAGCTGCCAAGTTTGAAGGCCCTTGGTCTATTCTATTCTATTCTATTCTATTCTATTCTATTCTATTCTATCTATCTATCTATCTATCTATCTATCTATCTATCTATCTATCCATCCATCCATCCATCCATAATCTATCTATTCTATCTCTATCTCTTCTACCTCTCTTTATCTATTCTATCTATCATCTCTCTCTCTCTTTCTCGCTCTCTAGTGCAGTAGTCTTCAAATTTGGCAATATTAAGACTTGTGGACGTCAACTCCCAGAATTCCTCCTTCACTCATGTTAGCTCAAGGATTCTGGGAGTTTGAGGTCCACAAGTCTTAAAGCTGCCAAGTTTGAAGACCCTTGCTCTATTCTATTCTATTCTATTCTATTCTATTCTATTCTATTCTATTCTATTCTATTTTTTCTATCTCTATCTATCTATTCTATCTTTTTCTATCTCTTTCTATCCATTCTACCTCTTTATTCTATCTATCCCCCCCCCCCTCTATTCTACCTTTCTTTATCTATTCTAGTGGTCTTCAAACTTGTGGTCTTTAAGACTTGTGGACTTCAACTCCCAGAATTCTTCTTCCAGTCATGTTAGCTCAGGAATTCTGGGAGTTGAAGTCCACCAGTCTTAAACTTGCCAAGTTTGAAGACCCTTGTTTTATGGTAAGGCATGTGTAAATTAACAGCAATATTGTTAGGACAAAGTACAAATGGGAAGTTGTGTGCCCACTCCCTCCTAACAATTAACACCAAGGGTGTCCAACCTTGGCCACTTTAAGACCTGTGGACTTCAACTCCCAGAATTGCTGGCTGAGGAACTCTGGGAGTTGAAGTCCACAAGTCTTAAAGTGGCCAAGGTTGGAGACCCCTGGACTAGAGGATCGCCCTGCGCGTGGCGGGGCGTGGTTTCGAAGTTAGGATCGGGCTAGAAACGCCGTCCTCGCTCCTCACCCCTCTCGACCGTCAAGGCAGAAGGTGTCTGTACCCGCGCGCGGCCCCTTCTCCCCCCCCCCGGGGGCACCCGGCGCTTTCCTGGCCTTGCCTTTCGCCCGTCAAAGCCAATTTGCACCTCCGGCTTCTCCGACGCGCCTTGACATTCATAATGAGGCCAATCACACTCGGGTGATTTTCGCCACGGCCAGACGTGTTCCAGTTGTTGTGACAGCTCGCCTTTCAGGCCACGCTAATGAGCCGCACAATTACCGGCTCTAATTCGACAGCGCTGCCGCCGCCGCCCCGAAAGCAGGGACGCCACCTGGGGGCGCCTTTGGCCCCCCCAATGGAGCCCCCTCCGCTTGAGGCCCCTCTTCTCCCCAAGGGAGGCTTCCTGAAAAGTGTGTGTGTGGGGGGGCTTTTCCCAGGGGGGGTGACCGCATTCAGAGAACCGGCTCAGGCGGGTGACAACGTTTTCCGGCCAAGGCCGTGCCCGCAGCATCCTCCGTTGACCCGGGTCGTGTGAATCCCCAGGCGGACTTCTCAGGGGTCCGTGAATGCTCCAGCCGCAGAGACCCTAAGCATCTCTGTCAGCCGTCGGGGTTTCTCTCCGGGGAGAGGAAAAAAAAACCCCTGAGCCAAAAAGTTACCTGAAAAACGAAAGCGGGGGTGGGGGGGTGGGGGAGGGGGCCCTTGCCAAGCCGGCGTGCAGCAGCAGGCGAGGCCGCCTCCTCGTCCTCCTGAAGGCCGGCCCAGTTCAGGGACTGCGTTATTCGTCCGGCTCCAACCAGGCCCGCCGCGGTCATCCGAGAGAGACAGGCTGCAGCGGTTTCGGTTGCCACTGGCTGACCAGGCCGCCTCCGCATAACCTCCGCGGCTTTGGACAAGTGCGAGGGCCCCCGTCCCCCCCGCTTTAACCAGACTACGGAAGAAGCAGCGGAGGGGGAAAGGCCAGCGCCTGCTTGCCCCCTTGAGGAAGCCGTCCTGCCGGGCGAGCCCTGCGGAGGGCTCTTGCAGGAGGAACGCTCTCCCCCCTCGGGTTTCCCCCAAGAAACGTCGCCTCGGTCGGGGAAGCCAAGGGTCAAGCGGGCTCCTAGAAGCCTGGGCAGAAAGGGGAGCAAGCAGAGGCGGAGGCAGCGGGGACCGGTGGGCCGCCCCCAGGTGGAAGTCGGTGTGACAGGCGGGGGAGGGAACGATCCCCGAAGCCTCTCCAAGGAGCGCTGCCCTCCGCTAGGTTTCCCCGGCGATTCCGGAAAACGAGCGAGGAGGACCGAAGCCTCCGTTGCCGACGCGCATCTTCTCGCCTAAGCCCCGGGGCAGGAGGGGGTGTGTGTGTGGGGGGGGGGGGGGGGG